ATGGGCTGCTCCGTCACGGAGTGGCACGACATCGGCGGGGCGGAGGAGATCGATGAGGAGTACACCAACAAGGAGGTGGTGTGGTCCTAGTTGGTCGCCCTCAATCGCGAGACGTTCGCGAAGCAGGCCAGGGCTCGTGAGCAGAGGATGGCGCTTTGGAGGCTCGACAATGACATGATCGTCGAGACGCTTGGCGGCATCGGCCACAAGCAAGATAATGAAGAGAAGAAGGAGAAGGATGATAAGCATGGGGTGATGGCAGCAATGCCAGGCCATGGCAAGAAGAAGAAGAAGAAGGAGAAGAAGGGGAAGCTTTTGGTGCTGCCATCAGTGCCAGCCTTCTTGGAGGAGAATGAGGAGAATAAGGAAACGCCCATGGTGCTGCCCGCGGTGCCAGCTTTTCCGAAGTTGGAGGAGGAGAAGCAAGAGGACACGTTGAAGGTGCTGATCACAGTGCCAGATGACGTCCAGGAGATGATGGCGCAGGGCATTTTCGACAAGGACAAGGTCGTGGCGACCCTTGGCGGCGTCGACAAGATGTAGAAGAAGGAGAAGATGGAGGAGAAGGAGGAGCTAATGGTGATGCCTGAAGTGCCAGCGGTCCTGAAGATGGGGGAGGAGCAGGAGGGCAATTTCAGGGTTCTCGAGGATGAGGGCCTGACGGTCCCCAAGGAGGAGCTCCAGGGGTGGGTCGAGGAGGCAGGGGCCACGATCCAGTTCTTCAACAGTGTCAAGAAGCACTTCGGGAGCGGCTCCGAGGAGTCGAGCTTCGAGGTGGGAACCTCGGAGTGCGGGCCTTCGTACTCTGGGGTCCTTTAGGCTTGAGGTGCCCCGAGATCATCCACGCCTGGCCGTGTCTCTTTGGGCTGTCGGGGCCTGGGGGCGTTTTTTTTGGGGGAGGGGGCTTGCTGGCCTGTTCGGGCTGGGCCTTCTGGGGCCTGGCGTGGCCCTTTCGGGCTGCCGCTCCACGGAGACCTCGGGAAGGCGGAGAGTTTCTCGAGGCTGGGGCGGCGCGGCCGTGCGCCGAGGAACGCTCAGCGGAGCAGCGCTCGCATCGTCAGTACCCTCCTCCTCCTCCTCCTCCTCCTCCTCCTCCTCCTCCTCCCTCCTCCTCCCTCTCCCCCCCCTCCTCCTCCTCCTCCTCCTCCTCCTCCTCCTCCTCCTCCTCCTCCTCCTCCTCCTCCTCGGGCGTGAAAAGAAGAACGACGAACCTTTGTTTGCCATTCTCGGCCTCGGAAGGCCCTCGCTGGGCCCTGGGTCCGTCAGAGGACGGCTCGGAATGAGAAGCCAGTTCTGGAGGATTGGTCGAGACCTCCGGGGATCCAAGCTGTGACGAAATCATGAAGTGGTGGGTCGTGCCCAGGGGACTCGGGGAGCGGTGGGTATGGATACCTGCCCGCTTGTCGCCATCGCTCGGACGTCAATTCCCCGTGCATTTGTTGATGCCGTGCGCTTATTTTTCGCAAATGATCCAAGATGCTCGTCGACGGTCCTCGCCGGGGGAACGATGCACACGTCCGAGCGATGCCAAGGCTTGCGCGGGCGGGCAGCTATCCACATATCCACCACTTCTCAAGATCCTGGGGCACGCAGTGGATGTGGACACATACTCTGGCAGTGGGCTCCTGGAGGCGGCCCAGCACGCAGTTGAGGTTGCGCTGCAGGAGGAACGGGTCCTCGATGTGCAAGCGCCTGGCGTGCCTGCCTTGCAGGCTCCCGAACCGTGCCTCTGTAGCGGCGAGCCTCTTCCCAAGGCGCACGCTCACCACCTTCGGCGGCGCGCACATGGGGGTAGGGTCGGGAGCGGGCAAGAGAGGGGGCTGTCCAAGAGGGGGGGGGGGTGCAAGTCATGACCGGCGGCACGTGCGCGGCCCAGTGGGGGGGTCAGGGACGTAATGAAATAAGAAGTGGCGCCATGAAATCTGGGGAAATATCATGGCCCCCGCCAAGATATCCACCCCCCCTAGTCATCACACCCTTCTTTGCCGCCCCCGATAGGGGGTGGGATGAAGCCTTCTTAGAAGACGGCTGCTTCTTAGAAGGCGCCGGCCCTACATCTACTGACAAGGCCGGCGGCCTGCGCCTTCCAAGAAGCAGGGGTGCTTCTGAGAAGCCTTCTCCCCTCCCCCTATACTTAGGTCGGGCATGTCCCTCTACAGGGGGACTTTGGACGAAAAATAGAAAATGCCCCAACAATACTCCAAAATAGTCCCAAATAGTAAAAAAAAATAGTCCCCAGACTATTAATTATTATTATTTTGAATATTCCCCCTGTAGAGAGACAGGCCCGACTTAACCCTACACCCCTCCCCAGACCCCCGACGTCGTGATCTTTTCACAACGTCGACCCCCAGAGGTCCGGACCCCTGCCCCGGGACCGGCTTTTCATCCTGAACCGCTTCTTGACGCTCCCGAGGCCTGAGAAGGGCCCCCCGGAGGCCGAAAGCAGCGAAAAACCGCCCGTCGTGGTTCTTGTCGCAGCGCGAGGGGGTCTGGGTCTGCCTGCGCGTGGCCGACACCTCCTGACCCTCCCAGAAGCTGCCGCTGTCGCTGTAGAACCGGAAGAAGCTCGCGTCGGGCGAAAGGGGGGGATAGCACCAGGGGGGTTTGAGAGACAGCTCACGTGGCTGATCTTCCCGGCGCCCCCCTGCGCCGGGAGGCGCCCGTGCATCGAGGCATGGGCCCGGCGGCGGGGCCGAAACCAGCTGCATGCAGCAGATTTCGTACCCCCCCCCCCTTCCCAATCTTGGGGGGCGGAAAGATACGGATACGTGTTGTCCCCGGACCTCTCTTGGGGTGCGTTCTGACCAGAATTTCGAGGCGAATCCAGCGGTGACAACGAGGATTCCCCAGGAGGAACAGGAAAGGCCGAAAACGAAGGGGGACAACACGTATCCGTATCTTTTTCTCCCCCGACAATCCCCCCCCTTCGCCCGGCCCGAGAAGCGCTCGAGGAGCTCCGCGGGGGCCCGCGCGCAGGACCAGCGGCCGCGGCACGCGGCCACGAGGCGCCCGTCGTACTGCCCCGCGTGCGCCTCCTCTCGGAACGCCGCCACGGGGAGGCTGGCCGAGGAAGAGAGGGCTGCAGAAACATACAGAGCTTAAGTCGGGCCTGTCCCTCTACAGGGGGGAATTCTCAAACAAATAATTTTTAAAAATCAGTTTTTTATTATTTGTTTGTTGAGCTTTTGGGGGGTATTTTTTTAGTTTTTTTTTTATTTCTCGCCCAAGCTCCCCCTGTAGGGGGACACGCCCGACTTACTACGAAGCTCTGGAGCTCCGCGCGGAGCTCTTGGGATCGGCGCTGGGCCCCCCTCCCTGGCGAGCGGAGAACGCGCCAGGGGCGGCGCGCCGGAGGCGCCACAAGGCCGGCCCACCGCGGACCCAAGACATCCGCGCGGAGCTCCGAGCGTTTGTGTTTGTGCCGCCCTCTCTTCTTCGAGATCGGGAGCCTGACCTCCTGGTCCGCCTGCATGTAGTAGATTGCGAGGAGCGCGAACGAATAAGACGACAGCCTGCCACGAGAAGCGCCGCACACGCCGGCGGCCTTCGCCCAGAGCTTCACCTGAGGGACAACCATCGGGGGGGACTGGGGAATCAGCGATACATCGCCGATAGATCGGCGATGGGCCCCCGATAGGAAGTCCGCACCTTCCTCGGCGGGGCGGGGCTGCCAGACCCCTAACGCGATTGGGGGTGAATGTATGCACCCCTGCATCGCTGCCCCGGATCACCGCTTTCACAAGGCTTCGCACCCGGTCGTCGAGGTGCGCGTACCCGCGCAGGAGGCGCGTGTTCTGCAGCCCCCGCGTGTTCTGGCAGGACAGGTCCACGTCGAGCAAGTCGTCGAAGCGAAGCTTTAAGATGGGCACCCTGGCACGCAGCACCTCTGCGGGCAAGGTTTGTGATGAGGAAGATCCCGATGAGAAGGAGGAGGGGGAGGAGGAGGGAGAGGAGGAGGAGGAGAATGAGGAGGAGGAGGAAAAGGATGAAGAAGAGGAGGCCTCGCGCGGCAGCTTGAGACCCAATTTACGTCGGATCCACGTCGGATTTACGTCGGATGCAGGTCGGATGTACGTCGGAGCATCGCCGCGCGAACTGGATAGCAAAACTGTTGCGCGCCGCGCGAGGTCTCCAGGATTTGCCTCATGAGGATTTGTATCCAGACCCACGGTGGCCTGGACTTCGGGAAGGCATTCCAACACCCGAGGCGCTCTGGATACGGATAAAAATCTGGCCTCGCCTGAGGCCAGAACTTCATACATGTTCACTGTGTCCCGGGGTTTCTATCGGCGGCGAACGAGTGGGGGAAATGAGACGGAAAAGGCCTTCTCAGAAGGCGGCGGGACTTCTCAGAGGCCCTTGCGCGTTCTGAGAATTTTTTCCTGTCTCCGGGGAAGGCTCAGGAAACTTCTCAGAAGCTCGAGGGGCTTCCAAGACTTCTGAAGGCCCACGCCTTCTCGCTTCCCCCCCTCGCTCGCCGCCGACTCCGAGGACGGGAGCCCAAAAACCCGAGACGCAGTGGAAGTGGATATGGAGGAGGAGGAGGAGGAGGAGGAGGAGGAGGAGGAGCAACCTCCTCCAAGATCTTGAAGCGGGGGTGATCCTGGAACAGCGGGCCGATCTTCTCGGACATGAGGCTGGCCGGGGTCTGGCCGGCGGGCAGGCCGCCCCGGCGCAGGCAGGTCACGTCCACGTCGGCGCCGCACGTGTGGAATGTGCTGGGCACGCTGCCGAAGGGCCGCACGCACCACTCCTCCCCGGCCTGCGTCAGGGTGGCCTCCAGGCTGCCGAGCGCCGCGCGGATCCGGGCGCCCTCCTCCCACCTCACGGCGCTCTGTGCCAGCCTCTCCTCCAGGAGCCTGCCCAACTCCGCGACCCTGGCCTCGGCGTGCGCTGCCGGCCTCTGCTGCATCTCTACTGGCGCGCCGTGTGGTGCTGAGACTGGCCGATTGAAAAGTTGAGCTGCAGGCTCGCTCTGACAAACCGCATTCGCTGGAGCCCGTCACGGTTTTCGACCTGCTCGAGGCTCGAGCGAACAACCGATGACGACCGACAACGAGGACCATTACGAGGACGACGGACGACGACGGTAGACGACGGACGACGGACGACGACGACGACGACGACGACGACGACGACGACGACGACGACGACGACGACGACGACGGCGACGGACCGACCGACCGACCGACCGACCGATCGAGACGACGACGACCGACGACGACGACGAGGACCAACCCACTGACCGACCGACGACCGACGACCGACGACCGGACCGACCGACCGACCGACGGACCGACCTACCGACGACGACGACCGACCAAGGACGGGCCAGCCGCACGCGCACGAGGGCGCGCGCGCGCACTGGCCACCTTTGAGGGCGAGGCGCGGCTGAAATGCTCGGGACTGCGCCCCCGGGCCCGGCCTGGCGCCCTCCCTCCCTCCCCCGCCGAGGCGTGGAGTGGTTCCAGCCCTCATGCCTCGGAAAGCGTTCCAGCCGCCCAAGCCGACGAGACAAGCGCGCTTCAGCCCATCATCTTTGCGAGGGAACGCGTTCCAGAGGCACACGGTGCGGATTCCAGCCCTCACTTTTTACGAGGGACTGTGTTCCAGCCGCTCATGCGGACAAGACGAATGCGCTCCAGCCCCTCATTTGCACGAAAGAACACATCCAACGGACAGGCCGACCGACCGACGAACGACGACGGCACGGACCGACCGACCGACAGACCGACCGAAACGACGACGACCGACGACAACGACGAAGACCGACGGAACGACACATCGACCGACCGACGACCGACGACCGCAACGAC